AACTGCCTGAGATGGTGATCTCATCATCTTGATGGCATTTAGAATCACCATAGCAACAAACCTCTGGGCCTGTCTGTGGGGAACTTACTAGATTGGGTGACCTGCGGTAGAAGGCTGCAGCATTCTATGGCTTGGAGGCTCTACTTAATCAAAGGGAGAATGCCAGCTTAGCACAACTATTTGTCACTGTCTGCTTCTGACTTCAGAAACAAGATGGGCTGCCCTCGGCTTCCCGGCAGTGATGGGCGGTTCTCTCAAACTGTGAGCCAAAACAAGCCCTCCCTTATGTTGTTTCTGTCAGGTATTTTGCCATAGCAACAAGACAGGCACATAATACATCATTGCTCAATTAATTTCAACATGAAGTTACCAAAAACCAGTTTGACTTTCTGATACCCAAGACAGTACTAAATTATTCCAAGTTTATTGTTTCAATCCAAGGCACTGGAGGATGGCAACCTTTGGCATTTTCCCGTGTAATTCTTCTCAGAATCCCTTATGTGCTCACACCCCAGACTGGGCCAGAGAAAGGCAAGTTATTTGTTTCAGTGACTGGTAAATAAAACACTTGTATAAGCAAGCAGGAGCAGTACGACGAAACTGCTTCCATGGACGCTGATGAGAGACAAAGGCATATCCTGGGAAGCAGAAATCTCTGTGCACACACTCAGCCGCCAGCTCCCATGGAAGGCCATGGAGATCTCTAGCTTGCTCCAGGTTGGAAGCTTTCTTCATTCTGGCTAGTCTCCAGAGTGCTGGAAGGTGCTAGGGAGGCTGCCGAGGAGAACTGTAAACAGTCTCACTGTCTGGCCTGGCAGGATGTACCCAGTACAGTACTGGAAGGTCTCAGGGGACAACCAATCACTTTCTGCTGGAACTGGATACTCCCTGCAGGAAGGAACTGACAGCTGGTACTGTGAACCTGGCTAAAAGCCTGTGGCAAGGGAGGTCAGAGGCACTAGTGGGCAAGTGGCAGCTGCTGCTTCTGACTGACTGCGCCTGCAGCTTTGCTCAGAACAGCCTCTTTCTAGGTGGACAGCAGGAAGTGCAGAGACCTAACCAGTGTAGGGGCTGGAAATAAGTGACTGTTGAATGCCCAGTCACAAACGGGACATCTCTATCACTCCCTCGGAGGCTCAGTGGAATGCTGTGAACACCCGCATTAGATCTGCTTAAAAGATGGAAGGGGCGAGACTGACGAGGATAGGGTGGGGCTGACGAGGTAAACCCTCCCGAAGGATGGTTGCTGGAGGAAGCAGACTTTCCTCCTAGTGTTAAGCCACTTGGAAAGGCACACGGTCCTGTAAATGACCTCTCACTCACACCCCTAGACACCCTCGACGATTGACTCACTTAAACAAAGACACAAGTCAAATGGAAATTTAGAAAAGGACAAAAAAAAGATATTAAAGTAGAAAAAAGAAGAAGGGATAAGGACAGGGAGGTAAAGAAGGTAATACAGTATAAACATGATCAAAATACAGTATATAATGTATGAAATCACAATGAAACTTTCTGTATAGCTAATAAATGCTAATAAAACATTAATAAACAAAAAACAAAAAGTTGGCTTATGTGGATTTTAAAATGAGAAACAGTAACAAACACGTCACTATAAGTTGTGAATATAAAAAGAATAAAAATTAGTGTAAACAAATATTTTTAATGTTCGTTTAGTTTTTGCATTTTTTTTTTTGTGAGCAGCGGCTCACTATGTTCTCCTTGCCTGCTTGAAGCTTACTGTGTGGACAGGCTGGCTTTGACTGCTGCAGCAATCCTCCTGCCTCTGCCTCCAGAGTGCAGGGGTCAGGGAACGTGCTGTCGCCCCCAGCTAACCAGAGTGTTTACTTATGTAGATTACCTTTAGGTTTTCCATTAGTATTGGAGGTCAGTGCCACCAACAAAATCAAAGGAATGTATGGCTTGTGATCACTTAGTCCAGATCTCTTAAGAAGAATTTGGATCAAGTTATCAGACTACAGCCTTGTGCTGAGTGGTGCTTTTGTTTTTATCTTTGTTAATTTCTTTCGGTACAGTACTATCTAATTACTGATTAATTAGTGCAGCAGATTCGAATCCTTATAATTAACACTAAGAGATGATACATGAAGTTGAATCTGCTCCACTGGAGAAAACTGCTGTAAGGCCTGCTGGTAGATTCAGAGGGCTGCGGGGTGCTGGGGTGCCATAATGTGAAACTGAATTTACTATTGCAAGCCACACCAACCCCTCATCTACTAAAGGCAGACCTAACTAAAAATTAATCTCTCTGCCACACTTGAGTTTTATGGAAGTGAGTGATACTTAGAATTATGGTTAAAGGGACAGGAATCTTCACTGCCATTTTATGTGCTATCCAGACCTGGTGAACAGGATAAGTCATTGAGCCGCTCTGTCTCACCACCTGCAGGGCCCTGGGTAAATCCTTAAGCTGAGTCTCTAAACGGTTTCTTCATCCAGACAAGGCCTCTGAGAGGACAAATGAGGAAGCAGACACCAGCGTGAGTCTCAGCGTTCCTGCCCAAGTCCAAGCTCCCCAGCTGGTACTGACATTCACGTCCGTGAATGTATCCATGGCGTGTCCCCAGGAAGGCAGACTTCTCTCGCTCCTTACTCAAGCCCAACAACAGAAGTTGTCTTCTGTCTCCTGTCCTTTCCCTTCTCCTATGCTCCCCCTTAGTGTGTGTGCACGTGTGTGAGCGCACATGCCCACACGCATGTTAATGCACGTCGTATTTCATGAATGGCAAAACTGCTCCCAACTCCTCTGTAAGAGGCGTGTGGAGGTGCAGCTGTGGACTCCCTGCTAGGATAAGGTGGTGCTGTGACAAAGATACAACGTACCACTCCAGAGCCTCCGCAGACAGCCCGGGCAGACTCTGCAGAAAGAGTCTATGCTATTGATGCGCTAGGAGTGCTGTGTGCTAGACGCTGCACCAGATGAGAGTTTACTGTCTCCAGGTAAAACAACTGCCCGCCCTCTGAGTTCTAGTGGGGAACCTGCCCAGGTGAGTGGGGAGAAGGAGGCTGAGGTCGAAGCCAGCGTAGGTGTTACAGTCTCGGGAAGGACGGGTTTCTGGGTGGTGAGTGAGGGCAAGGCTGCTGAGACTGTGCAGCCTGGAATGGCTTCCACCTTCCGGGAGGGTTCTCTTCCTATTTTCAAGACTCTAAGAGGTTCATGATGGGGTGTAGTGGGGACAGGCTGAGAAAGGTTCATGAGCAGTCAGATTTGTCTTTCGGAGAGTTCCCTTTGGCTGCCTGTGAAAAACAACTTCCTGGGTTTAACAACAGGTCTGTGGCAACAGGCTGCTGGATGATGTCATCTGTGACCTGAGGAGATCAGGGAACA